GTGGATAGATGATTGATAAAAAACGCTTTTGAACCCGTTCCAGGGCATTAGATAAGTAGGAAGGAAGGGCGAAGTGGAAAACTTGACAGCTGAATTCCATGACTGGTCTGACGCAGGTAGTGTAAAAATGTATTATGTCAGCTTCAGGTACATGAGCACGTTTCAACTGAATAATAAAATAAATCCGTTTGTTCGCCTTCTTAACTATGTTAGTTATGTGTTGGTTCCATTTTAGATCTTTAGAAATTGTCAAACCTAGGATTCTTGCGTGGTTCACTGTCTCGATTTGGCCCGAGATGATCTTAAGGCGCGGAAATTCTTTCTCAGGTTTTGTAAAACTGATAACAAGTTCCTTGCACTTGGAGGCATTTAATTGCATCTTGTTTTCTACAGACCAATTTTGAACACAATCGACTGTATCTTGAATTTTACTGTGTGTGTTGATGTAAATGATTTCAGATACCGTAGCATCATCGATGTATTTCCATCGCTCATGATGTGGGGGGCGTAGGTCATTTATCATTAGGATGAATAACCAAGGTCCCAATTTGGTTCCTTGAGGGACACCGGAAGGAATGTCAATCCATTCAGACATACAGTCTCTTGCAAGTTTCACCCGTTGTTGCCTGTTCATCAGAAAGTCAATTACCCAACGCTTAATGAAATTTGGCATTGGCAATTGGATGATTTTCGTGGCTAAGATCTTATGATCAATCAAGTCGAAGGCCTTCTTATAGTCAAAAAGAACCACTCTTACAGCGTTTCCAGTTCCATCTGTGGCTTGAGTCCAGGCATGAACCATAGAAATTAAGGCTTTTGTAGCAGATGATCGAGGGATGCCACCAAATTGAAAAGGATCAATTGACGACAACACTGTTGGAGCGATATATTTTTCAACAACAAACTCTTCTGCAAGTTTAGACAGAACCGGAGTTAACGAAATAGGTCGGAGCTGTTTGCTTATGTCTTTAACAGGTTTCTCTTTCGGAATAGGTGTAATGTTAGCTTGTTTCCAGCATGAGGGCAGTCTTTTTTGCTTGTAGGACGAATTCAATAAGTCCGATACAGAGGGAGCAAGGGTTTCGGCATAATCACGAAGAATCCAATTGGGGATATCATCAGGGCCCGGAGCTTTATGCGGGTTCAAGCTTTTCAGTTTTTTCAAGACCGATGCAGTATTTGTCAAATTCATGTTTACATCTAACGGATAATCAGGAATCTCCTCAAACAAGGTGTTCAAATCTGTAACATTTAAGGGATCATAAGTATTCATTGGTTCTATTAGGCTTTTGTTAATTAAATCTGCAAAACCTTTGTTTGTTAAATGTTCTGTATCTTCGACATGAAGTTGGTTAAGCAAACTGCCAGATACAGGTCTCATACCGGAGATACGTTTAACCTCTGTCCACCAAGATTTGGGGTTAGACTTTTTCAGATTAGCAACTTTTGAAGCAAAATAGTCTGCCCGGCAAGATTTTCTCATTCTATTCACTTTATTTCCGTAGAATTTGAAAAGAGTAGTGTTATTAGATGAAAACGCACGTTGTCGAAACTTGATCAGCTGTTTCAATTTTTCGGTTATCCATGGGTTGTCGTTGCGATGGAATTTAACGTGTTTCTCAGGCATAAGGATGTCATAACCCGTCTTTATTGCAGAGCATAAGATATCACAATTCTTATCGCACGGTTCGGAGGAATCGATAAGTTGCCAGTCAAAGTTACTCAGATATCGACCAAGTTCTTTTTTGCGTGATTGACGTATGTCTCTTTTTATTACTGTCTTTCTACTTGTGGTTTCTGATGATGTTTTAACTTTGGGCTCAACCATTATCACATTATGGTCTGATAATCCGAAAGGAGGGAAAACCATGGCTGGTTGTACATCGTAAAATTTATGCATGTTTGTAAGTATAAGATCCAAAATCTTGGCACCACGAGTTGGTTTATCAACCAATTGTTTTAACTGAAAATCTCGGCAAAGATCTTTAGTGTCAAAGTGGTTAAAATCACCAGCAATAATAATTCCACAGCCTGGAAAAAGACTTTCCAGTAGTGTCAGTGAGTCTGATAGGTATTGAAAAAGATCTGTATTGCTGGAACTTGGAGGATGGTAGACGCACGCAGAAACAATGCCGTTAATTCCCCTTGGTAATCTTGGTGGTCTAATGTGTGTCCATAAAACCTCAAAGTCTAAATGTTCAATTTCAGGTAATCGTTTGAAACGGATGGAATTCTTTATGTACATGCAGACACCACCGTGGATACCAAGACTACGATCCCGCCTCACGAGGTGGTAATCAAATAAAGTCGCGTGGGTGTCACAAACGGACTCTCGCAGCCAAGTTTCAGTTATAAAACCCAAATCAAAACTTTGTGCAGAGGTCAAAATACGTAGCTCGTCAAGCTTAGGAACTAGAGACATGACATTGGTTAGCATAATTTTTGGAACGAATTCAGTTCTTGGAGAATGAGTTTTGGTAATAGGAATTTTAACAAGGTTACTGAGATTTCGAGTACACATTGGTTTGAGTCGGCCGAAATGCTGTCTTCTAGACCTTCCCATACCGTGTACTGTAGAAATGTTTTGCAAGGGTGTCTCCGCCATTATACAAGGGTTGAGTAGCTCCCATTCTGGGTTGAGTTTATTTTCTTCTGAGTTGTGTTCATGTCATGATCTTTTGGTCGCCATGGTTTGCAAGTAACAAACGTGGGCCAGAAGTTTTCCTTCTCCACCAGTGCACTGGCGCCTGAGGGTATATGGAGTTTACACGAAAGAGTCTCTCGACGGCGGCTTCGAAAAACCGAGATATAAGTGGGGAAAATATTTCTTTGATTAAGGTAAGAAAGGATTTGACTTTTGTTTACACTTTCAGCGATTCCCGTTACGAACAATTTCTTAGTCTTACCACGTTTACGCTGAACTCCAATAAAATCATCAGGCGACTGTCCGGCCTCAGAAACCACACTCTGCGAGGTATGCTCCGAATTCTTGCTTAGGTTATTCTTGATAGGATCTTGGTGGTTTGTTTTGGTAGCGGTTTGATTAGCCGTTTTTTCTGCGTAGGTAGGGTGATGTGCTTTCGTACTATTATTATCTTCTATAGAAACATCAGCGGATGCACTATTTGGGTTCACTTCTATAGGATTTACGGAAGCATTCCCGTTTAACTCATTAAACTGATTATTGTATTCTTCACGATTAATTGGCCTTGGTTCGGTAGTGCTCCCATTGTTCGTTCGAGGATTAGTCGATTCTTGTATGACAAAAGAATTATCAACACCAGCACTGTCGGCATCTACATAATCAGTAAGCTCGTCCGATACGCAAGGTTGCTTTGGCAAAGCGGAAATATCAGAACCATTCTTGTTTTTGTTCACCAAATCTTGTAACTGAGAAGTTATATACGAGATAGAGGCCGATAGAGACTGGATTGCTTCGCCATTGATTTGTTGACCCAGTTTTAGATCTTCAATATCCGTATGCACATCATCACATAATTCATTTGATAGTTGAGTGTGGGCTGAGGCAAATACTTGTGAATTATTTGCATGATAATTACACATCCGTTTACATAACTCTCTCATGATTTCGGTCGCATTTTCTCCATTGATGGAAAGCAATCCCTTATTCTTTCTCCATAGTATAGTTGATGTATCACAACTAAACAACTTCCTATCACCTCCAGGCTGTTCCCAAGTTCCTTTGAGTTGTAAATCTTCACTTACAAACTGTTTTAGAGACTCATAAGTACCTGACCATGCAATGCATAGCTTATCACTTAAGCTGGTTGCCATATTGTTCATTGTACAAATGAATAAACAACTTTCAATCGCTAATAATCGTCAGGATAGTCTTTCATATAATTTTTCATCCATTCAAGTGTGTTGTATTGGATTGTATTACAAAAATTTTGAAATTTTAGAGAGCTCAACAAAGCACGTCTGCTCACGATAAGGGGGGGTGTCTTTTCCAACAAACTAAAAATAGCTCGCGCACAAAATTTAAATCTGCAATCATATTTTGAGTTAACAGATGGCAAATTTGTCGGGATTTTCATTACTGTACAAAATTTCAGACTATTTGCATGCTTAATTAATGCATTTGCCTAATTTGCATATGTCAGCAATATGCAAATTAGGTAAAGGCATTATAAGCATGCGAAAAGCTGACTTTTTAGAACAAAATGAATAGTTAAAGGGCTTAAACTCAACCAAATTGTCTGAAATTTTGTACAGTAATTAAAAACCCGACAAATTTTCAATTTATTAACTCAAAATATGACAGGTTTGAAATTTTGTGCGCGAGCCATTTTTAGTTTGTTGGAAAAGACACACCTCCCTGGTTCACAAAATTTGAGTTCGAGAATTTTTTTCATTATTTTACATTATAAGTACCCAAAGAAGCTATATATATATAAAAAACCAGATACAAATAGGTGTTTTGCGAAATTGAGAGCAATTTCAAATCTGTTCAGTTTTTTTTATACACCCTGTATATATATATATATATATATATATTTATATATATATATATATATATATATATATATATATATATATATATATATATATATATATATATATATATATATATATATATATATACTGACAGCTTTTTGGGTCTTTATTGACAGGAATAAAATCCAGGCTCATATATACATGAGTATTATAAATATATATAGTACTAAATATTGTAAATTTATATAGTTTAATTATATATATATTAATTATATTTATATAGTTAATTTATATATTTATACCCCATGCGTCAAACGGGAAATAGTATGAATATTCGTGATAGAAATTCCGACCCTTCAAAATTCCCCTGGCCTCGTTCCGTGTCAGAGCATTTTTTAAGGATTTTGTCCAAAGGTACTCGTTCACGAGTTTATGAATCTAATCACTAATTAGGACGTATATATGCCTTTTACGTTTAACATGATTGCGACGTTTCTACTGAAAATGCTGACATTTTCAACATTAAACCTATTACGTAACATTTAGAAATTACTTACTTCATTTTCCATTGCAAGCTCATTCCATTCTTTTTCTCCGTGTACAAACAACTTTTTATCCTTTGAGCGATAAAGTAAGAGACCTGGGGCTGAATGAATCTTCTTCACAGCCATTTCATTTGGAGCTACTAAAACCTACAATACGACATGCAGGGTGTAAAGTTACTAAATATGACCAAATTCTAATTTGTAAGGCTTTTTTGGTATAAAATAGGTAATTGGGCAAGTATACTGGTATAAGACATTGTGTAGCATAAATAATGAGAGAACCAGTATTCAAAATTGGTTGTTCTTTTCTCCAACTCCTATAGTGAACCAGGGGTGAACATGCATGTACGTAATATATAAGCTAGGGAAACTACGATTATATATAGGAACTAAACATATAGGAGGTGAAATATTTGTGGGACACGATAAAAGGAGAGGATATAGGAGCGAGAGATTGAAAATGAGTAGGAAAGGTAACCCTGTACGCGTTTCGACCTAACAGTCTTCTTCAGCAGGGTATTTGGTAGATAGAGTTTGCAGAGGAGAAGGAAGGAGAGTTTAGGAGTTCGGATAATAATGTGAAACCAAGAGAAAAACAAAATATTACAAAGTTATTGAAAATAACTAATTACACAGTAACAAAAATGCATGAAAGGTCGAAAGACAGTGAAAAATGATGTAACTATATACTATACATATTAATAGTCAAGTTATCCTACCAGAAGGGTCGTGTTCTAGCGGGACATTCCAACACCGCGTACTTTATTATTCATCTTTGGTAATAGTGAAGTAAAGCAAATTTGCAGGTCCTTCAAGAGGTAACTTACTCAATAGTATAGCGAGACTGGATGATTGTGATGGTAAGGATGGAGTAAGATTTATTTCGTTTAGTGTGATCATGCGCCTGTATAGGCATGATTGCATCCTAATATGGTGTATAGGGAGCTTAAATGACAGGGATAGGGGCGTTTGGCAATTAGTGATCCATTAGGGATAAAAATTAATGATTATATACATCGTGCAGGGTTTGATTTTATAAATATTATATTATGATTTTATATGATTTTATACAATAATAACTAAAATATGTACATATATTACAAAACCAAAACAGAAATTAGTAAATGACCGATACGATATGGCCAAATGTTAGCTACAGTTCGGGTGTCGATTTTGCCACGTAGAGGATCCAAGTTCATCATTGTACTTTATTATTTTAGTAATAGAACATGACAAGCGTGCTATGCGTAACTTAAACAAGGAATGAATGATCATATGAAATTCAATAAGAAAATAAGAAATATTCTGGTACGTCATGCGCTGACTTTTACTTAATTAAATCTACATACGACGCGTTTAATACGCCTAAGGTATAATATGTTGACATGCATTAAAATGATTCAGAATTAACATGGTCATGGTAAAAGAAATATTAAAACTAGTGCGAATAACCGTCCAAACAACAACAAAAATGAATATATAGGGGCAGCATGCACGTAAGCAAAGTGCCAAATACAAATAAACAATTATTCATTCAGTCTTACCGCTCCACTTTTTCTAACTTCTTCAGAATAAGCACAACTTCCCTATCGGAAAAATTGAAACAAACGATCTATAGCATTCCAAATTATCACCTAGGCTATACTGCATGCTATCACGGAGATTCTGCATAAATTTCAAATGCCACGCAAAATACACAATCTGTCGGCGGAAATTTTGACTCCAAAAAGGATTAAAAAAATACCAGTATTGAGTGTAAACTGCAGTTTTGTCTGAAATTCAGAAAGCGTTGCCCCATATCATGCACCGGTAAAATTCCGCCACTGATGCAAATGACGGTCTTGAATGATAATATAATGTACCTTTTCTTCGATTCCTGTGTCTTCGTTTATTCTGTATGTATGCTTTATTCCATTAGAGTCTGTCTTTATGTATTCAATACATTTTCTCCAAGCACGTTTTGGAACTGAAGAGCGAATCCATATCCAAGTGTGAGCATTTTTTGTGACGGTTCCTCCATTTATTGCTGTGCAATTCTTCAGACAATAGTTCTTCGTACCCCTTCTTGGTCCATAGCATGCACAGCACTGTGGAAATATATTATTAAGATAGAGATCAATCGGCGACTGTTATAATTATTTAAGCGCGGCGAGCATGCAGGCTCCTTTTTTTCTAGTGCCGGTTGCATAGCCGAAATATTGAGGCAATTACATGGGCGAGCAAGTTCTCTACTTGACATAGAAAAAGCCGTTACTCGTCAGCAAAGTTGCCTATGTGCAGACGACAAACTAAAACTTGACACATATTGTCATGTAGAAAACCTGCTCGTCTGTTTTTGGAGAGAACTGGTTTTAGAAAGAAACCCATTTTACATGCAGAAATCGGCAAAATGGGGTCACTTTTTAGATTCTGCAGCTGCATGACAATTGTATAATAATTTTTAATGTAAACTGAGTAATGAAGCGTTTACTGCATATTATTTTTGTTTTACTGCATGAGAACAGAACACAAAGCATCACGTGACCATCCGAACTTCCCAGAGAAAAATCTTCTGCAGGAAATAACAGAATTATATATAGAGGATATTACACGGCGGCACGTAGATATGACTCATCTTCGAGTGGTGAAAACAATATTTTACGAAGGAGCGCAGCGAGTGAGTAAAATATTGTTTTAACACGAGACTGATAAAAGTCATATCTTCAAGTCACCGTCAATGTTCTGTTTATTATATGGTCCGAAGCAAAAAATTGTGAAATTTCACGCTCAAAAGCAAATTAGAAAAAGTCACGTGATCGATATCTTCACTAGTGAAGATATGGAAAATATCTCACTGTATATTTTTCAGTATCTCACTCTCTACTATATAATAAGTAATACACTGACCTTGCCGTCTGAACAGCCAACAAACGATGTAGAACTGTACAGAATTCCTGAAGTTGATGCATTTTTATAGGCACTATAACTAATTTAAAAGTGTACCAATTATAGGCTATTTTAGTAGGCCTAAGTGTGAATAAGTAATGAATATATCGACAAATCCGCGCAATATCTTGCGCACTCTTCAATCGGTAATTAGGAAAATATATCAATCATGTATAGGCAGTATAGCTATAAATGAACATCAAGTCCAAAAATAATCATTACAATTTAATACAAGAATCCATCAAAGCATAATTATACTGCATGCAGATCAGCTCAGTTTAAGTATTTCTGCATGGCATATATATATATATATATATATATATATATATATATATATATATATATATATATATATATATATATATATATATATATATATATATATATATATATATATATCATATTATATATATATATATATATATATATATAGGGTGTATCAAAATAAACGCAATTCATCTTTTGTGCTTAATAACTTTCGAAATACTATTTCTAGTTAAACGCTTTTAGGCTTACTTCAAAGCCGGTTCTTTTCTCTTTCAAACAAACTATTATCCTTGTCTCCAATGCTAGTAATAATTGCACAGGAAAAGATTTAGTAGGCCTAAAACCTATCATTTTTAGTTGCTGTTTAATTATGCAAGTTTACTATGTTATTGTTTAGTCGGTTTAAATGTTAGAATTTTCTTCTTTAAACTTTAATGTTGTCGTCACTACATCTGGAAAACCACGTAAGAACAAATTAAAAGTATTTTTAAAGAGACCAGGTTGTTTGAAAATCCTAAACGAATGCTAAAAATCGTCAAAACATTCTGGTGTCTGAGCCACAATGTCATCGAATTGCGATGTAATGTAAGCAGAAATTATAGCAAGTTGATGTCAGTCAGCTTAGATGGTCCAAGCCAAAATTATATCGCATTTGAAGTTTCAAACTGAGTTAAAAATAGTGGAAGAAAAGCCGTAATTATACTTATTGTTACAATCCATTTAATAAAATGCAACATTTTTTTGTTTTAATGAAAAAATCAGTTATTTTCATGAGAACGATTTGTTATTCCATCTCAATTTTTTTAATCTCCAATCGCAATAACGTGAAGTATTATTACCCGCGAACCAATGAGTCAAATTTAAGAAACAACCCACTGTTAGAAAGCTGAATGGCTACGCTTTAAAATGAATGTAAACTTTAACGTTTTCGTCTATTATTTGTTTAGCAATTTACATTTCAGTCTAGGATTGCGCTTTTTTTATACACCCTGTATATATATAGTTTTTCGTTTTACCTCAAAAAACCACAACAGTCTGTTTCATCCGTATAGGAATCATCAGACCTGATGATTCCTATACGGATAAAACCTGATGATTCCTATACGGATGAAACAGACTGTTGTGGTTTTTTGAGGTAAAACGAAAAACTATATTACGCTCTATCTATATGGTATTGAGCACTGTTTGTGTTTCGTAAACCAAAATCTTAAACTATATATATATATATATATATATATATATATATATATATATATATATATATATATATATATATATATATATATATATATATATATATATATATATATATATATAGATGCCATTAAATTCGAACCAATCTTATAATAATATATACTGCACGTACATAGTTGGCTGTTTTCTAACAGACTTAGCTGCACTTGGAACTAATGCTGACGTCAACAATAATATTATTAGCAATTAAAAACTTACTTCGTACTGTTAAGGAGAAATAATTGTATCAACTGAACATTCCGTTTCGGTGACTCATAGTAGCGATATACATGCAGAAGTATACGGAACACGTAAAACAACCATGCGGCTTTGTAGCTTTTATTATTTAATTTTATTTGTCGTCATATAGCGTTAAAACGATCTGATTGTACATTTTTAAATTCATTGATATGGCAAAGAACAGGTTAATATATTTACTCATGTACCATCCTCTTGATTTAGGTCGATAAACTTTAAATCAGTTCTGTGATATTTCGTATATTAGCCTATGATGTATTAAAACTTTGGCAATAGTAAAGATCTTTTTGAGAGACGTAGTGATCCAAAATTTATCAGATTTTTTTCTACTGACTGTTAATAGGGTGGCCGAAAAATTCACAAGGCCAAAAGGCTTGTTTTATCAGGTATTCTACGGAGGTGTAAAAAGTATTAAAATTTGATGTATTTACCTGAATGAGCCATGGTCGTCGAGTTTTATTTTCACTGAACTTCCATATTGAATGATAGCAAAACCATTTGGACATGGCATCTTCAGACATCGGTTCATCATTCCCTTCAAGAAAGGTAAGAAGGAAAATATTTACAGAAAATATTGTATAAATATACAGTCTTATATGTGTAATTCTCCTGCTATACTGAGGAGTTTCGCATGCAATACTATAGCTATAAGCGTTACCTATCATTGCATGTAGATGTCATAAATTTGAACTTTTAATTATGCTTACCCATCCAATTTCCTCTGACAAATGCGCACTGAACAAGGAACATCGAAACTGAGTGTTAACAGTTTTTCCAAGCAGAAGATCTTTTACATAAGAAATATCGCCAATGCCAGGGTTATGTTCAGTACAGCCACCATAATTGCGCACCAGTAGTTTACCAAGTGGACGTTTATTTGCCAGTCTAAAACTCCTATAGATTTGAATCAGACCTCTTTTCAAATATTTATATCTTTAATGTAATTATATATTTATAAGCTATACCAAAATTTCGTTCATAGTAAGATATTTTACATATTTCTGTTGTTATTTTGTTTTTCAAGGTATAATGACGTCAATATCTTAAAATTATTATTTTCCACAAAACAATTCAAATTATAGTTAAATAATGTATATTTATATAAGTCCAAGAATTAAGGTCAACAAATCAACATTTGCTCTGTATATCAGACCAATCACCATATAATATTTAAAATATTTCATTTTGGATATTTGCATGGTGATTATATCTGAAACAAATCCATGTCTGTTTAAATTTTTTAATTATAGTCTAACTGTCTAATTAGCGTTCGTCCAAGGACTGGATAAAGTTTTCATAGGTATTGATCAGGTAATAACTTACTCATAATTTGCATTGGTGTTTTATATCCAGAGGTGAATATAGTAATATAATTATTGCCGGAGATTTTAAAGTCAATACCAGACAAAAATACTACATTTATATCGGGTTATATAGCTATAGTATCACAGTACCTGATTTGGCAACAATGTGAACGGATAATTACTGACGAGAATAACATGCATGCATATATAGGCATAGCCGCCCAAATAAAAAAATCTGTGCTTGCATGCTATTATTACTCCATCTTTCATAGAATGTTTTTGACAATATATCTTCTCCAAAGCATTACTTTACGTTTCATGATTAGTTTTATAGATCATTTTTTGAAAGCAAAACGTTTCGTCAATTTTCCCGCGTTTAAGGCTCTTTTCCACTCATCGCAAGATTCAACTCGCAAGTTCGCTGCGAGTGCTTACATCTAATTAAAATAAACTGAGCATTGTGATTGGACGAAAGCACTCGCAGCCGGCGACCTTGCGAGTCCACTTTTGCGATTAGTGGAAAAGAGCCTTTATACTCCTGTTTCATGTTCCAAAATAACCCTGGCTCCGCGTTTCATTTTTATCAATATACAATATTCGATATAGAATTTAATGTCTTGAATACGACCGGCATGAAAAAGAAATATATTTTCTAGTGTTTATAATATTTCCTTTACCAGTCAGCTTTAGTGTCCTCAAATCTTGATGTCGTAGAAATCTGGATGCGTATATCTATCATTTTCATGTCTCCAAAAATACTGGACCAATGAGGGTTTCCTTGTGGATAAACAGTTTCATTGGAAGATGGAACAGTCCAGGTGACAGGGTCATCTTTTTTAGCAACCAGCAAGTAACCTCCCCCGTCTGTTGTGACGTCACACCATGCCTTTTTGTGCAATAGAACATCGGTTATATTCGGTTTTATTCAAAACTGATCTACAAGGATCTGCTCATGCAACCTCGTACCCAGGGCATTTTTTAAATCACTTTTTTAACACAATTAATATTTGTGAATGAATTTTAGTCTCTGAAAGAAAATCAAACCATATATCATTATTCAAAAGTTGTAAACAGTGTTGCATACAAAATATCGTCGCATTCCTAATGAACCATAAATTATTCATTCCATTGACATTGACGGTCTAAGAAATATTTTCGGCAAAATCTGTGATAAAATGCTTAAATCCGATAAGATTTGTACGCAATGGCATAAAATCAGAATACTTAAAAGACCAGCCGATGCCAGGGCCTTTCCCTTCGCCGCATTTTCAAAAAAGGCTCTGGGAACGAGGTTGGGGTCTGCTCGCATAGTCGCATGTAGGCCATTACTTGATCAATATTTATGTCAAAACAATACGTTCATGTATATGATTATGGCTGCTGGATCAAAGACCAAAGTATACACTGGCTGGTGCAAGGGTAAAACGCGGATGCGGACGGACAGAGGCGGACGGACGGAAGGATGACAGGGTAAAATGCGGACGGACGGATGAGAGGTTATGAAGGAAAATCCACATAAATAAATGTGCTTGTAAGTATGTGCATGTCAGGAGAAAGATACCGGTTTGATACTTTAATGCAGGAGAGACTGAATTGAAACACTTCTGAGACACTACAATCATGTGCAAAAATTATTGAGACAACAACGCAACTCCCTCCCCCGTTCATAAACAATGTTGTAAATATGACGTAAAGCCTGATTCAAGTTTTAAAAGCTCAACAAATTCGATACTTATAAAAAACTTTAAGGTACAGTCATGTTTTTTTGTTTTGAGATTTCCTATGAATTGAATTGTATTGAATTGAATTCGTACTTTGAACTTGTTTGAAATTGATTAGAATTTCACCTGCTTAACACAACAAAAAACCCGAACAGTAACTATACTGAATAGTGAATAGTGAAAGGTGGTTCTCATTAAATATGGAAGCTTACCTTAACAACTTTAATGACAGCTTCATTTTTTATCCAGTAAATTCCACTTTTAGCCGCTGGTACCCTGTCTACGACGTCTGAACAATCATAAGCAGGATCAAAATATTCTCCAATTGTTGAACGTCCTGTGCGCCCATTGAAGAGCAGATAAATTTTTGTGGTGAAAACGTTTGAAATAGCCTGCCAAACAAGGTGCATGTGAAGGCATGACTGACACAGCACAACATGCACATCACAAACCGGCATAGCACAAATTACTTACACCAATTCCACACAACATATTCAATACAACATATGCAACACATTCAACAATACAAGTCACCACTCAACACGATACCACTCAACACAGCACCATGCATGCACTCAATAACTATATAAACATACCATCCAGGAATTTCCATGAAGATTTAGAATCAGAATTTTCAGAACAAACGACCAAGCGTTCATCTCCAAGTCTATCCTTTATCAGTTTAATTTGCCCGTGTGACTGGGTATCGCATGATCCTGGGTTTATTGGATCTTTATTTAGCTGTATATAAAAATATATAAAGGGAAAATTGCTTTTAGATTCATGCCTGCATGACATGTGTACAATATAGTCAATACCGCGGTAAACCATCTGACACGAAATTAAAGTAGGCTCGATCATATGAGATTTTGTTTTGCTGCCTTTATGACTTATACTATATTGTCTGCAATCTAAGAAAGAGAGGTACTGCATGTAGTTCAATTTAATCCTTTATCCATGTTACGCCTGTCTAAGATTAAGTCATAGCTATTAATAAGTGAAGTTCTACTCAGTACCTATATATATATATATATATATATATATATATATATATATATATATATATATATATATATATATATATATATATATATATATATATATTATATATATATATATATATATATATATATATATATGCATGTACAAATGAATAGTAGATACATATGATTAAAATATATACAGTAACTATTTATTATTATGTTTATTTTTTAATATCTTCATGTTTCGCGCACAGATAGATTTCTCTTTAATCTATACCCCAATCACAAGCCTATATATATCCCTAACCATAACCTTGGCTATGGTGCGCGAAATATGATGTATTTCAGACGCCTTAACTTAATATAAATTATTTACTGTAATTATTCAATGCAAATGTAGTTTCAAAATAAGCTATAAACACTATAAAGATTAATTAAAGCCCTGGTCAAACGAGAATAAGAGTTGATGAGAGTTGAGAAGCGAGACGGTTTCTCAACTCTCGTGCCCCGGTCAAACGAGTACAGGGATGGATTTACTGGCTTGGGAGGGGGGTGCACCGGCCCCTATCAGATCATGCCTGGATCCATTCCTGGTAAAATAAAGCAAAATTCCTATTGAATATAGTTATATATGCAATATATTCCCCACACTCGTCTCCATTTCCATATATATAATTCCAATTCTATGATGGCATGCACAAATGTGACGTATTATATATATAACTGTACAGGAGAGCAAATGAAAATTTATTTGTTTAATATTGCAAAACAGCACCCATGCAAGCATTCCTCTCCAAAGGGAGTAAATCGTTATATATAAGGGCCGGAAAATACCGTGAATGTATTCATGAAGTATGCATGGTTTGTTTTGTTTTGCTAATTCAAAGTGTATAGGTATAACTACTGGGTATAGTTTAATTAAATTTACTATCATAACTATTTTGACCTGAATTCAATACATATACGTGCAAAACATTAATTAAGAATTTAAGTGCAAAACGAAATGTTTTTAAAATTCTAACATGTTTGTAAGCTATTGAATATTAGAAAAGATTCTATCCTGCACATTGTAAATGTAAAAGAGACAAAGAGTATTAGATAAAACTTACAGCCAGGTCAACGTAAGTTGAGTTCGCTTTGGTTGTCTTTACTGCCCAAAACGAGACGACAATCAACGTAAATGTTATCACTGCCATAGTCGCAATGAAATGATGATTAAATGGCGAATGTTCCTATTTTTGAGCTCTACATAATGAAACGTTCTAGAACAGTTTTGTCATGCAGATAGTGTCAGCAATTTTTTGTTAAATGAACAATGGATCGGATTCTCAATTGTAAGGCTTCCAGGGTTGAAATGACAACTAACTGGTAGCTAATTTTATTAAGCTTTTCTATTTCATGTAAAAAATTAAAAATACCGAACATTTTAGGTGTTCCGTGTTCAGGTAGATTATTTTTTGGGTCAAGACTTATATTATAGAAGGTAAATATAGGCAGCGACACAGTGCATGCGATCAGATTTATGGAAAGGTTATGCACAAGTGAAATTCACTGCCACTGAATTAAACAATATCATAATAATAAACACGCCCATTGCATTGTGCTCTTCGTGCTTAGAGGTCGAAGTTTTGCGTTTGCAAATGTGCCTGCATGTTTAGGCTTTAACATTGACATTGTCATTGCTATTCAGTGTCATATAGTATGTTTTGAAATCTGGTGGCAGTGCACGATGCAAAGAAATTATGACTAAATTGTGTAATGGCAAATGCTCCTGTTTCTGAGCGCCATTTTGATTACATGTCATTTCCATGACAATTATATGTAAATTTTGACAATTTCAGAGCACGTAACGTGTCATAACAAATTCTTTTTCGCAATATCAGCTTCACAAAAAGTTAACTGTCATACGTGGCCTGGTTGGTCAATTTACACCTAATTGTCATGCGAGCGAAAGTTGTGTATTGGAAGCGAGTTCTATCCAAATCAAGTGCTATCTTTACTGTGCATGAATTCTATAAATCTCGCCGGAAGTCGCAAAACAGTGTCATGCAGACACATGCATGCAGTTTCAGCAACCTTTTGTGAGACAACAATGAATTCTTCCTGAAGAGGTGTTTCATGTAGGATTGAAAAGAATAACTATAGCCACAGGCCGATCAAAGTTATTTCAGTGGATTTTCCACTATTTCTTGTGCAGATCGAATACCGACTATTTTATGTATTTAGGTAAACGATTTTTAAATTCAAGACTTAAATCTTAATACAGCAGCTTTGGCATAGACAGTCATGATCAGTATGCATACTGGCCAGATTTAACATAACTATGCAGTCTATATATATGCTTATTATAGTTAAGGTTTAGAATAGGTCCATGATTTGGTGAAGCGTTTTAGCATCATGAAAAATATAATGTGATAATTTCAACTGTAAATTGCAGTCCGGTGTCTGACCAAGCGTGACGGGTCAGAAATTTCGCCCGTGGAGGCGCGAAATATATGTCGACGCTTGCTAAATTCTTGCTAAAATCAGCGCATGGGCAGTTCTACAATAGTCCGACTGATTTCGCAAGTCAGAAATTTCGCGTTACACACGGATTGTATGTTAGTTATATTAGCATGATGATGTGTTGAAAGTATATGCACGTTCATTTGACCATATATAGACATTCAAAGGAGTTCCTTCGAATGTCTATAATTTGACAAACACTATCCGGCTTCTAAAATTTGAACGGGTATGTTACTGAATAAATCTGCACTCAGAGTAGTCCATGCAACTTTCCTCCGCAGAGGCTTAAAATTCTTTATCATTGTCGAGTTATATGTTATACAGTAATGTTGGCACAGAAGTGGTAGTTGTAATTTAGAACAGTAGAAGACATTTATCACGTTATGTTGACTAGTAATTACTTATAATTTGTTTGACTATAATGATATATTATAAATTGAATGATAAAGTAAGGCTCTGTGGAAAATAATGAACTAGTTGCCAGTCTTTTATATTTGTTCGTTCTGTATATATAGTGAATTTACACAGATTCTACCTTTTCTGCCTTCAGCCAAAGTGAAAAGAAAAAGAGGCATTGTTGTCTTGATTGCCACAGACATGATTGCACATAATGACATAAAAGTTGACTAAATTTAGTAATCTCACTTCCAAATCTCCGTTGACTATAGGAAAATGCTAGAGGCCATCAGTGTAAAAATTGTGTTGTAATTTATGTAGATAGTTTCAGCAACATTTTGTCTGATCAACAATAGTGCAGAATATATGTAGGCGTTCATATATATCAGTGCATGGTGGGCGTTCCAGGGTTGTAAAGAATCAACTAAGCATTTAGTCTGCCTATACATCTGCAAAAACACTGAGATTACACTCATATTAATTACACTCAAAATTAGTTCAAAATTCTATGACTATGTGTACGTTGAGTCAAAAATATTAGTCAAGTTTCCCAGTTACAGCAAGTCCGACTTGGCATTAGGCCTAAATAAGATGTTCGGCCCGCTCAGGTTGCTTCTGATGTGAAAAATACACGACGATCAAAATACAGCACTATAATGAGTAATGTTGTCACTGTCAGTAAAACAATCAATCAATTATGATGTTATTTTGATGCCGATATTGTTTCAGCACCGCTTTGTGTAGCCCACCATGCATTGCCGGTTAATTAGTTTTCATCATGCATTGGCATTCCAGCTTAGTTGAAAAGAGTAACAAACTGCAGTGTTTTTTCTCGGATCTACCCACCTAGCTAAGTTATTAAAACTACTTTGATATTTCCAGGGAATACCCTAGCCTTCTCTGCAGGCATCTCACCGGGTTTTTTTTTCGAGCACTCATTCGCAGGCTAAAATCATGAAGATTCTTGTGGAGGAGGTTACGAATGTCCAGTTCATCAGGAACTTCATTTATGCTCTACTACACTTGAACTTCAGAGTTCAGTATAGAAAGATTTATCTAGCGTGTACGTCACAAGTTTTCCTGATCGATGACGACGATCTAGCTAGCTAGTATATTAATTCAATACATACAAAGTGGATGTACTATATGTACATATGAAAGCAGTAGAGATTCACACATATTGGCATTACAATTAATTTTCTCTTGCAGCAGTTACTGTAAAGTCCGTAATGTAACATGATCAGGCAGCCGAGAAGCCCTGGGAACGAGGATGGTAATGTAAACGCTTTGTTTACATTTTGAACTGCTATACAAAATATGATCATACTACCTGAATATCTGACACTTTTCTGGTTCGCTATGCTTCTAAATGAACATAAACTAGACGTTTCAATTCAAAAATGTTCGAAAGATGCAAAATTTGGGCAATGTTTGTATATGGTCCCTCTTTGTTATGAGCAGAACTGATGCGCAGAACGGACTTTACAGCACCTTTTGAAACCTAATTTATAATTATAGACAGACAAAAGGAAAGAGTTTAACGTTAGATCAAATTCAATTTATATAAGGACGAGCTTTCTTCTGATAATTCCGTTGCTATGGTAAACGAAACACTAAAACAGTGATTGATTTAAATCATGTACGATTTTTTTGAATATGAGAATAGTCAAATAGAGATATCCATATATCTGAAGTCCCTGCATGAGATCGAGATTCCTGGCATGTCGCACGCTTGATTTCATTCAACAAGTAAACTTTGCAGGTTTCGAAGCTTAACTGATGTAAATAGATAAGACATGCATGTATAAAACATGCGATAAATATTTAGTTCTTGCCAATAACTGAGTATCGTTCCGTCAATTTTAAAATATAACGCAGTACAGAAATATTACAGTTGTTACAGAAAAACAGCTTGAGGTACTCGTTGAAATGAGCTAAAGAATTTGAACAAGGACTTAAATGACAAGTTTAGATGACAGAGAGTGAGAGTCCTGTTCATAAACAAGACATTGAAGCTGAGGATTCCTTAGTTTTGTGGCATGATTTTCTTCAGACTTTATCACTCCACGGCTTTCGTCAAGTTTTTGAACGTGGCAGTGCTAAAATTCGTCGTATTTTATGGTTGACTATTCTCATCGCAGCTTTAGTTATGGTCTGTGTTCACAGTGAACGTAGTATAAGGAAGTATTTTGAACGACCTGTATCAACCAATGTCCATGTGGAATTTGTTGAGGAAATCATATTTCCAGCTATCACCATCTGCAACTTTAATTTGTTTCCATTTTATCTTATCAATGGCACTGTTGGAGAAAAGGTTGGTGCATAATAAGCATAAAAGCATCGAAGACAGAGTTGGACTAAGTTTAAAAGTTCGTTGGAGGCAGTTATTTATAATTTCAATTTTAACTTTAATTTCAATATCCTATTAAAGTATCTCCAATGTTCAATTTCATCCCATGTCAGTAATTTTGTGGTCCGTCAACGTTCGGTGTTCTCCGCAAAGGGTTTTCAGTATTAATACTCATGCTGCAATCGTTAAATAAAATTTTTCCCATGCATCACCTTTCCATTCATTACTTTACCTTTATTGCTTTAATTCCCTCGCGCCTACAACTACTACCTTTCCTATTTCTGTAATCTCACCATTTTCCTTAATTTACCTACTAATTTATCTTTCTTCATCCTTATACCTGTTACTGCACCTTAACTGCCTAGTTACCTTGCTATACTTTACCTTATTTCTAATTTTATTTACTCTTATCTGACTGTCTTGCCATGCCTTGCCATGCCATTTCGTTAAGATCAAACAGGCAACGTTGTTTCACTAACGTTGATCGAATTATCAATTTAGATAATGTCCATCTTGGCTCCACAACAGCACATAGACAGGCAGGATGATGTGCTATTTGCAAGGTCACCGATACCTAACTTTAACCAGTACAAACGATCAATTATCCTGAAGGAAGAAGGGAATGATAGTACTGTAGAAGATATTGATACAGACATTGATGTTGTTGATTCAAAATGGGATTTTGATCAGACATTTAATTTTGCTGAATTTGTTAAAACTCATGGACACAGGATAGACCACATGATCAAGAAATGTAGATGGAGATCAGAAAAGTAAAGTATCTGCATGGGCCGATTGTACGAAGACCAGATCATAACGCTATCCACCGGAATGACCGGATAGTGATTTGTTTAAATCTTCATATAGACTGATGTCTATATGTAAAAGCTGCGAACCACGGATATTTACAATACAATAAGTGAAAAAAACATTGTTTCTAATAAGTTCCTAAACTTTAATCTGCAATGTATAAATCATCGACCAATTTTCCGGTGTCGGAAAGCATATCCTGCCTTCGTACAATGGGCAATTTTAATTCTGGGAGCCTTTTTCATCAATAGCGAAGCCATCTATAGCACCACGTTGCATGTGGCTAGTATGATATATTACCGCGCATTTAATCAATAATGATTATTATCAAAATGTACCTTTTATTCAAAGAAAACCCCCGTTTGATTTGCTGTGGCACCATAAAAATCCAATAACCTGATGTATACCGCAATGCATTGCAATTGGATGGTGCTATTATTATAGAAAAGGTCAATTAAACAAAAGAGCTTGAATACCTGATGCAATATCCTGCCGATTTGCTAAACTTTGAGTTTATTTTTATCACCAAATTGCATTAATGTCTTTGTGTCTAGGATTATTGAAGAATACCTCGTCAATATAATATATTTATACGGCTATACAATTATACGGCTAGCTGCTTATATACAGTACATATTACTAATTAAAGTATATTAATATAAATTGCATCGTTGTTTCCATTTTCTAATTCATATGGAATTAAAATATTTTGTTTTAAGTACTTCTTTGCAATTAATATTCTTTTTTGCTCGTAATTCCATTTATAGATGTGGTCCTGAAAATTTTACTGCGGTAATAACTGAATTTGGATTATGTTACACTTTCAATTCGGGAAAATTGGGGCACCGTGTTCTCAAAGTGAACAGAGCGGGAGTTGACTTCGCTTTAAAACTTCAATTAAATGTTCAACAAGATCAATATTATGGATCTTTAAGAGATTCTGCTGGTTTTAAAGTAATGGTTCATGATCAGGATGAACCAGCGATGATCAATGAGTTAGGCTTTGCTATTCAGCCTGGAACTCATACATTTTGTAGTTTGAAGAAAATTGTAGTAAGTGTATACAATGTTATAATTATCTTTAAAAAATTCATTAATAATCACGAGGAAAATTCAAAAGAAATGAATGTTTAATCAATGTTTGTAAATCGGATAAAGATTTGTCCTGATTTACATAAACTTCAGCTTTAATTTTCTCGGCTTAGACAATGTTTATTTTTAAAATTAGTTCGTTAATGAACTCATAAGATGGGTCATTTTTTAAATATCAGGTACAGATCGGCTGCTCATGTTTTATCTAGTACTTACTTGTGTCAGGCAACTCACATATCGCTTCTTTCTATTGTCTAGTTTATTCTGTCTTTGTCTTACTTTTCAAATATCCATTTTATTATTTTATCATTTTCTTTTCTTTTCTTACGTATATTTAATCTTTTTATATACCTATAATACGATCAGTTACTCCATCCCTTTCTTACATCATCGTTGCTTTTTTTCTATTTAATTGGTTTCGTTTTTCCCTTTCTAATCAGTTCCATCCTCGACCGTATCTATGCTTTTTCTTTTATACTTTCACTCTTTACTTGTTTTCCATTCCTATAATATACCTCCATTTTGGTTATATTAAGATAAACATTGCTGTATAAATACTGTAATGTCTGTGCATGGCCATGCATGTATGTAAGCTTTTAGCACTGACATATGAATATATTTTCTTCAGATAAATAACTTACCGAAGCCATATAGAGCGTCTTGCAAAGATTTAAACATACGTGGTTTTGCAAAATATACAAAATCTGCATGTCTATTATTGTGTCGTGCAAGATTTGTAATTGGTAGATGCAAGTGTAGTTCATACGACCTTCGCGGCTTGGAAGGTAAGGTCGTAAATATTGATTGCTGTATGTAATGGATATATAAATATTGAAATATCTGTTGTTTCATTCATATATAGTTACAATTAATGGTTATAAATTCATCTCTCGCTGTTTACGAATGCTGAGCTCTGTCCTTACCCTGATTCTAACCCTAACCGCTGACCCTAATTCAGGAACAGCGAGACATGAATCTATATATCCCAATTAATTATTCTATTTTCAGCTGACACCCCTCCATGTTTGCCTCAACAAGTTAAAAGCTGTGTCTGGCCTGCAATGGGTATGGATTTTAATATTAAACTCATCATTGCTGTGAAACGTTTACTACTCAATATTTATTAACACTATTTATTTTAGGTCTCGTCAGTTCAGTTCGAACTATACGGCCATTATAGCTATTTCCTGCACATCCATGCAACAAGACCCTTTGTATTCGTCATGACACGTTGCAGAGAGGTGTAAACTTCACAGAGGTGTAACTTAACACTTGCCCGCTTGCCTGGGGCAAGTGGATATCATGACGGGCCAGTAAACGTTTTATCTTGCTTGCCCGATTGGGCACGTTGCCTTGCCACAAAAAGCAAGGCATCTTAAAGTTTATGTTTCATTATCGACATTATCAGATAAATTTTTTATAATGCGTGCATGTACTTGATTCAAATTTTGTTTTTTGTGGGCCGAAGCTAGATCTGAGGAAGTATAACATAGCCACATAGAGCAGTGGGAGAACGGGTCGACATGTTGTCCCCTTAATTTATACCCCCTACCTAGGTACCCACTGGGCCATTATCTGCATGATGGCAAGATGAATTTTATTCAGGGCAACTACTGAATTTTCATGTCGAACTTGCCCTGAGGGCAAGTGGTCAAAAAAGTAAAGTTACACCACTGCTTCAGACAAATTAAGTCGGTTAACCGTTTCATTTTTCACGCAAGGGCACGTCAGGATTATATATCATGAGTATATTTCTACATATTTATTTTAAACAGAGGAATTTCGAAACGAAACAAACAATTGTGGTTGTCCAGTACCTTGTCATATTACGAAGTTCCAGACTCAACTGTCCTATGCACAAATGCCAGCCAAGCATTTCTCTGAAGTTTTGGCGAGAAAAAGAAAGGTTTCTAAAGATGTAATGAGAAATTATTTAAGGTTTGTGATATATTAAATAAACCGTGCAGCATTGGCATGTAAGGATACAACTATACCTGAAAAATACAAACAAAACTTCGACGCTTCGAAGTAAGGACCTTCGGAGTTCTGGTTTTTATCTTCCAGGTTGTTGTACAAATCTCCTATATTATCTCTTATATTTTTCATACCTCTGCTTTTTGTACCGCCATAGCTTCCTTAATGGCACCGACTGTTCGAGATTATATTATAACAAAGTCTTAAAGTGAAAATTTGTGCATGTAGGGTGTAAATGTACAATAGAGAAGGGGGCACTAGGGATGCAAGAGGCCCCGCTCAGGTATATGCATTACTGCACTCCAGCTGGGGGCGACATACTACACATAACGCAAAGCAAGGTCAGAAATATTTTTCAGTGTCCAACTCGGATACTATAGAGTTCGAGGTTTTAATATCTGCGACCACTTCTGGGTACTAGTTAGCAAACGTTTGGTATTTATAGGATGCAATCTACAATATTCTCACACGTTAACGGAACGTCTAAAGAAGTTACAGTGCCGTAGACAGCTTTTTGGTGTGGAGGCTTGTGCAAAGATATTTGACGGATTGACTAAACAAATTCTATAAACTTGTTCATATCAGCAATGTGTATCAGCAATTTATAAACATGATTCAAAACTAGATTTGAATAATTATAGGCCTATTTCAGTCCTTCCAGTAGTTTCAAAAATTTTCGAAAAAGTTGTCTTTGACCAAGCATATACCTTTTTAAACAAAAACAACCTTTTATCTGACATACAGTCAGGATTTAGACCTCTTCACTCAACGTTAACAGCTATGCTTGATGTCACTGGTACACTAACATGGACAGTGGGTTAATAAATGCTGTCTTATTCATTGATTTAAAGAAGGCTTTTGATACCATTGATCATAACATTTTACTACAGAAGTTAGCTTGTTATGGTTTCAACAAAGAAGCGATTGATCTTTTTAGAAACTATCTTTCTGATCGTACTCAAATAACAGTTATTAACAACATACGATCTGATACTCGTAAAGTAACCTGTGGAGTTCCTCAGGGATCTATCTTAGGTCCACTACTGTTTTTAATATATATAAACGACCTACCTAATAGTGAATTGGTATCAGATGGGCGTTTATTCGCTGATGATACCAACTTGACTTTTGCGGACAGCAGCCCTGACAAGTTGATTTCTGTTCTAAATGACGACCTTAAAACTCTCCAAAACTGGCTTAACCAGAATAAACTAAGCCTGAATGCGGTTAAAACTAAATGTATGTTTATGGCATCCAGGCAAAAATTAAGTACTATTCCTGAAGAACCTAATATTGCTATCGCCGGAAACAAAATTGAAAGAGTTAGATCTTATAAGTGTTTAGGTTTAAAACTGGACGAGAGTTTGACATGGAAGCATCATGTTTCTACTATAATCTCCAAAGTCTCCAAGGTGATTGGAGTTCTACGAAGACTAAAACCATTGCTCCCACAGTCAACTCTTGTCATGATCTATAACTCCTTAGCACAGCCTTACTTTGATTATTGTAGTATTGTCTGGGATAGCCTAGGTAAGGGTCTTGGACAAAGGTTACAGCGATTACAGAATAGGGCTGCAAGAATTATTACTGAATCTGATTATAACATCCGGTCATCGGATATTTTAACATCATTGAATTGGACCAACCTTGAAACCAGACGTACCCAACAGTTCAAAACTTTTATGTACAAAACTGTTAATAATATGGTTCCTAGTTACTTGTCTGGAAAATTTACTTCCACGTCAATGATACACGAACATAGTTTGCGTGGATCTAATCATAAACCTTTTGTACCAAGACCCTTAACGGAATCCTTGAAGAAAAGTTTTTCCTATAGAGGAGCTACCCTATGGAATGACATACCCGTCGAACTCACTAGAGTTCAATCTCTCGCTGAGTTTAAATCTAAAATATCTTAATATTTCTCTTATATTAGTTTCTTTGCATGTGTAGTTTGTTACTTTTGTAAATAGTTTGATACTTTTTTATTAGTAATTAGTCGACTAGTATAGGTACACGTCTCCATTGAAGAGCACATAACATAACCTGTGAAATGGACCTCGTGTTTTAAATAAAGATGTCAATCAATCGATCAATCAATTGTATCAAATTCCGACGGACACGGGAAATCGGCGATCCAAATTTCGGCCTTTTCAACAGAGTCGTTGTAAAAAGAAAAAGGCATTCCTTAAATTCACGAGAATGTCCAAAATTCGACACAATGCAAAATCCATAAAAAACCAGTACAATTCGTTGAAAATTAACGAAATTGTTTGAAACAGTTTACCCCCTCCCCAGGTAGAGGACCCCTTCCCCCGCCGCCTCCCCCCCCCCGTTGTTAATGAGGACTGGAAGCCTAGATGATGGTCTAGGATGCATTCATGTATGCCCTTGTCAAAAGGTCAAAAAGACCTGGGAAAATTAATTTATCAATACCATCATTTAGTGCCTATAGTACACATGAAGATCAGCCAAAACCACTACAACTGAATGTAAAAGAACACCACTTCCACAATTATTGATTCCTGTTTCAGAGATACACAAGAAAACCATTATGTGTAAAAAATATATTATACTAAGTCTCCTTAATTAAGAAGCTAAGAATCAATGAAACCATCCTGGTACACATTTATTTTCAGGGACAACTTTTTGGACGTAGATTTTTATTTTGAAGAAATGAGCATTGAGAAAATAACGGAGCGACCAGCTTATGACGAGGAAAGTTTATTTGGTGAGTGACATGTACACCAGTTGCACTTTCACATGTGGTGGGCGAGAACTAAAAAAGAGTCATTTAAAGGAATGGGCGAGAACTAATTAAGAGTCATTATTTTTCATCAGGGAATTTCAATTTTGCTGATTATGCTGAAAAATTTAAATAAAAATGTCGAAACAACCGAAATGTTTCAGTATTTACAAGTATAAGCTATCACTTTGTGTTTACACGGCCACCATTTTTATTTTTCAGCATAATCATGCACGCATAAACTAAAAGCTGGAATTCTAGATTCCCCTTATTACGTTTTCGTAGCCCTTTGCATTGTGGTTATACAGGGTGTATAAAAAAAGACGGAGTCGTCCTAAATATCCTTATTTCTATCGTAAAATAAACTACCATAGTTTTGTTTTGTGCTCAATTTAAAGCTTGTTTTTTCATCTTTCGAATGAAGGGTTTCTTAAAAATTTTGAACTAAGGCTAATCGCAATAAAAATAATTTAGTACAAGCGCTCGTTTTTAGATGCTTCGAAATATTAATCTTCGAAGTCCCTTGGGGACTTAATTAAAGGTAGTTTGCTAAAATTTAGAACGTTGTTGTTTAAAACTTTACAATCACCATTTATAATGCCAAAGCTAATAATTCCGGAAAGAACATTTATTGTTGAAAAGTATTTCGAAACAAAAAGCGTTGTTGCAGTGTTAAGACAATTTCAAATAGCTTTTCCAGGACGTAATCTTCATCGAGCGTTTGGCGTAATGTCAACAAATACCGGCTGCATGCATTGAGGGCCCTGAAGGGGTAAAATGGGAACTGGGATTGATCTATTTTTAGACTGGGAAAATGGGATTTGGGTTGCTGGGACTGGGATTTGGCCACTGGGAATGGGAAATGAAGTCCTCAAAAATGGGATTGAGGTAATGCGAGTCGATTCCCAATTTTTCTACGTTTTAAGTATTTTAAAATATAATTTTGATCCGTTTTTGGTGTCTTTGGTCATGATTTTTGTTGTTAACTAGATTATTCACAGCACCACCTGCGAATAGGCATATTCTGGCGCCCGGAGTTCTGGGTTTTCTGATTATGCGTGTCTCAGAATGCTGCAAATGCCATTTCCGGGATTCAAATTTAAAAATTTTCCGTGCCTTCGGCACGAGCCCCCCCCCAATATTTCATAAAGTGTCCGCCACTTGCACACACGGTGGCTTAAAAGGTCTTAAAACTATTTATTCTACCAATAAATAAAGGGTTTTTTATTGACTGGGATTTCAATAACTCGTACTGGGATTTCTAATAAAAATCCAACTGGAACTGGGATTTTTCCAAAATTTCAGGTGGGAAATGGGATTGGGACCCCCCCCTTCAGGACCCTCTGCATTGAATGGAAGAACCACCCCATAAAGTTTAAATCGAAATAAAGGAAACTCGGGAAGAAGAAGAGTTGTCTTGGATATGAGACAAAGAACGAATTTGTGTGAACTTAGAAATGGATGCCACGTTGAGTAAATGTGTACTTCCAACTTATTCTTTGGAACGTTTAAATAAATTGTGAATTCAACCACGTCTATGTACGTTTTTTAGTTTTCCAATTGCACTTACTTAAATTGACACAGTTAGCCAGCAATAACTCCAAATTTTATAAAATAAATTATACAAAATAGCCGAAAGATCGCGATTTCGAAAGAATGCAAGTATAAACGTCTAACTTTCATATTCGCTTTGAAATTTACATTTCATGTGAGGACTCCGTTTTTTTATACACCCTGACCCTGTAGTGGTATCACTGATAAAGATAGCGGCCTCGAATGAAAATATTGAATTTTTTCGCGAATATTTTGCTGTTGACTATCGCGCACCTGACCCTAGCTAGCTTTTTTTAAAAGTTCTTGCACGGGTCAGGACAAAAAATAAGCCATCTTGAATGTACCACTATAACTACAATGCAAAGCGCTACGAAAACGTAATAAGGGGAATCGTCAATTGCATGCCTATTGGCATGAGCTACCGTGCATGTTGATTTAGCCATGGGTCTTGGTGAAATTCAGAAATTTTATGAGCAAAGAGGAAAATTACTATTATAAGTTATAAATATATTTGGTGTAGTTCAGCCCGGAATATGCTATGAGTTTCCGTACGTATGTAACCGTTGATGAATATCGGCCGTCTTCATGATCGTGAATGCAAGATTGAAGTACAATAAAAATATTATAATGAATTATAATGAAAGCATAAACGAAAGAGAACATTTTAAAATTACAGACGGAAAAATATCAAACATTTGATTGTAACACTTGTATATTCTAAATCTATTTCTATATTATAAGCAATCTAAACTCGGGTCCGGCTTCTAAACTTTCAGAATCATGATAATCTTACACGACAGTAAAGTGATTGTTTTATCTGCTTTATATTCTAGGTGATATTGGAGGCCAAGTTGGGTTGTTTCTTGGTGCAAGTATACTGACACTCTTGGAATTCATAGACCTTGTTGCGAGGATCTTAAGCAGAAAACTGAAAAAGAAAATATATCCGGAACATACAGCTTAGCCAGGCATATAGATAATTTTATATATTTTAGAATATGGTCTTATAAGTTATAATTTATATTTTATACTATTTATTTAAAATTAGGATTTTTATTGGGATTGTACAGATGTCTTAATAAATTATTGATTGCATGGCATGATAATGATGACCAGCACAAACTACTTCAAGTATGCATAGGAACTAGGATGTAATTTATTCCAAAACAGTGCGATGTTGAAAATTTTACGCCAGTACTCATGTATTAATGTGCTAATGTATTCAAGGAAGAACAGCAGTACGCGCCTTTCTTTGTGAAAACTTGGTATTTTAGCGAATATCAAAAACTGGTATATTGACGTGCATTGTCGTGTTGCAAAGATGTCTTTTCCCATCTTTTCAGACATGTTATTTTGGGAAGCATGTGCGAAAATGTAAAATATTATAAGTTGTAGAAATGATTTTTCTGAATGACATGTAAGACGTTTAGAAGAACAAAATTATAAAATAAAAAAGTAGGGTCACGGACCTTCTTGAAGAGATACAAGGGTCAAACATGCATATGATGTGATTGGCAATTCCAGCTTTTAATTTATGCGTGCAGGGGGTGACAGGAATCGAAGTAAGGTAACATATTGCCGATTATGCTGAAAATTTTTAATAAAAACTGCCGAAACAACTGAAATATTTCAATATTTACAAGTATAAGCTATCATTCCGTGTTTTCACGGCCGCCATCTTTATTTTTTCAGCATAATCAGCAATATAATACCTTACTCCGATCGTCCCCTGCACGCATAAACTAAAAGCTGGAATTTGCATATTGATACACCAGGCGGCAGGGCCGTACACAGGATTTTTTCGCCAGGGGGACAGTAAGGCCTATATGCCGAAAAAAGTCACAAATATCCAAAGAATAATTAATAATGACATTCTAAAAATCATAAATATAGTTTTCTCTAGGGGGGCAGTTGCCCCCCTTGCCTCCCCGCTGTGTACGGCCCTGCCAGGTGGAAATCTTAAATTTAAAGATAAAAAGCAGAGCCCAGCAAATAACTTTAAATAGTTTAAAACCAAACATAATAAAAGTAAATAATTAATAGCTAACGTTTCGTTTTTTACAATACATCTTCAGAGCGATCTAAATACTTTAATTAATTACTAATTAAAATACTTTAATTACTACTTAATTAATCTAATTACTTTTATTATGTTTGGTTTTAAAGTTATTTGCTAACTTTGCTGGGCTCTGCTTTTTTTTCATCATCACGTGGTAGTGTTATTTGCACAGGGCTCTAGCCAGTGTTCTGTCATTTTTGAAAGTATATTTCCTGAAACACGCCTATAATCAATGCAGAGTGTTTTCTCTTTGTCCTCAGTACTCTTTCTTTATCACTTTACATTGCAGTTCGACTGCATATATTAGCTAGAATTTGTTATTAGATATGCGCAGTATAAGTGCGTAATGCAAAACTGATGAATCTCCTTATTTGGGGGCTTAAGCAAGCGATGTTTTTGTCAACACGGACGTCAGATTGCCGAGGGGGGACTGGATTAAAAACTGTGTTTGTGTCAGTTTGTGGCAATCGTCAACACATATGGCAAAACATAAGATTTTTAAAGTTTTTTTTTCTTCCTTACACGAGCGCTACGTACGATGTAGCCCGCGTGCAGGCCTAAGGGAACCCTTGAGCCTGCTCCCTTGGGCCTGCACGAGCGCTACGTACGATGCAAAATGCCGTCAAAATTAGTTATGCCAATTTTCGGGTGACATCCGTGTTCACAAAAACGTCGCTCGCTATTAAATTAAGGGTATAAACCGCTGGTGTGCAAATTAGCGCCTGACTCTTTCTTGAGTTAGTACGGGAGAATATGCCCGTTTACCTAACGCATTCCCATCATCCAACGCGAGCGACTGGGAACGAGTTGGGCAAAGCGCAGTGAGTGAAATGCACCAATCTCGTTCCCCGAGCCTGCGATCCTCGGGAAGGAACGCGAGGCTCTGGGATAATCTGTTGCCGGAAGCCAAGATTGCCAGGAATCCTGGCTAAGATCGAACTGTGCATTCCATACTATGATTCCATATCAACGGCCAATCAGATTCCTCCCTGAAACGGATATCCCAGAGCCTCACGTTCCTTCCCGAGGATCGCAGGCTCGGGGCACAGGAGAGAAATAGGGCTCGGGGACCAGATTGGAAAAGCACAAGAAGCCGGGATTTTAATCCCCTAGATACCATATCCCCGGTAGAGGTCAAATGTTCCGGGAAGTATTCTATTGTGTTTGCCAGCACAAAGATGGCGGCTGGTTCCACTTCCAGTAGTTCTGGAAATCAACAAAAGCTTACGGCTGGCTCACGGGTGTCTTGTACAACTTATAATGGTGAGAAAGTTGAAGGAGAAGTCTTGGCATTTGATAATCATCATAAAATTCTCGTTCTTAGTATCCTTTTTATTGATATTGCTTCAGGTTTTATGAAGAATTTAAGTTTTATTTTGTATATATTTGACTATGATGCTTGGTAAATTGTATAGAGTTGTGAACTTTGTGAACGTTGTGATTTCTGGGTATTTTTAATTAAGCAAGTGATGTTTAATATTAATTAATTTTATGGGAAATAGGATTTAATTTTGATTAAAGTGCAAAAGAACCAGTGCTTCCTATATCCCTGGTGTACTAGTTATTAAATAATTTGATAGTTGATCTTGCATAATTGCATATATCTGTAGTAGCTATTTATGATGAAATCAACTTGTAGATCTTCACACTTTTATACACAAGAAACACCTTGGCCATTAGTAAGCAGGGGCCATTGGTAAATTGATTTCATCTTGAAACAGGGGCTCTTTTAATAAGAATAGCAGATTTAAACAACTTGGCTTAGTTAATTTTATAGTATGGAGACATGAACCAGGGTGCATTTTAAGTGCAATAGACCGAAGATCTTTGGTGTGAGTTTGGCATATTTATACAGCATATAGTTAATATCAGCATGTCTTTGGTGCAGAGTCTACATGGAATGCTGTGCACTATGGGTCATGAAAAGAAACAACATTAAATGTTCCTCTTCTAATTATAAAGAACTACTGTTATTAGGAACCTTAATCAAGCAGAATGGAAATGCAGTGACAGTAGTTAATATAAGGCCAATGAAAATTGATATCATGTTTCTCGTCCCCGCCCGCATGGGATTTATCTGCCGCACGAAAATTTTTCATTATTCATTATTTTTGAAAAATAGGCTTAACAAAACACCAAATTGATCTCCAGATCAAAGTTTTATTGCTGCATTCCGCAAGCGCAACTCAAATTGTATCTTTCTAAAGATATTACTCGCCAGAGCGCCTCTATTTTTCATGTCAGCCCTGGTATTAAAGTCATTAAATTAAAATGAATTAGAGACCGATGTACTTCAGATTTTTATGGGGGTTTTTTACTGGGTCAAGGAAATTATTGACAAGCAGAATTCAAATACAAAAAATAATGAAAAATGAAAAATGAAAAAATCCCGCTCCAAATTTTTGAAAATTGTGGACGAGAAACATGATATCAATTTTCATTGGCCTAATGAAATTTTAAATAATATAGAATTAAGTGAATAATTACCCAAGTAAAATTGTCTGCCATTTGGTAAAGTAATAAAGTAGGGTGCATTGGGGTGCAATGTAAATTAATGGATTAAATCTGACAGGAATTTTAGATGTGACCATTGTTCTGTTTACAAAACACAGTTGATTAATGCTTACATTTCAAGCTGCAACAACTACTTCAAATTGAGTCCTAGAACTCTTCTCATCATTTTGTTCAATGAGTTTGCCAATCTCGTCACATTTTCATCACTTTTAGTCACTAATTTGTCAGTGGAGGGGGCACGAAGAAAAGGAACCTAAACCAGAGCAGGGTCTTAGCTAGGATTTTAGATCTTGGCCGTGTTTCTAAATTACCAAGGTGTGCACATGTCAATTGCCTTGAATAGCCAAATTCACGGTTCTAGTTATGGCTCGCCAGTATTAGACAATGCCTGTGGTTGTTCTATGCTTTGGAACCAAATACAAGGTGAGCATACACTCATATTGCGCATTGACATTAAAATATTAAGTTATTTCAGGAACTCTTGGGGGTATTTAAAACCATTTCACAGTAACACCATATCCATCAAAACATTAAAACATCACGGATCAATTTTGCCAATTTCAACAACTACAGTAGATTTTACAAACCTTTCTTACAACGTAAATATAGGAAGAAACTATGTCTGTTGTGAGCAGTAACACCTTATTTTATGAACCTACACGGCCTTATATAAATAATGAAGCCGCATTCATTTTATCTGGCCGTGTTTTTTCCTTTTTTAGCTGTGATAACACAGTCAACACGGCTCTCTAGCTAAGACCCTGAACCAGAGGTTCCAACCCTCCTGTGTAGGCTGGAAACCTCCCATTTTTTGTGATTTATTCCAGTCTGTCATCTTTGCACTATTATCTCTTGTTTATATACCTATACTATACAGTAGATGGTTATACTTTGGTTCAAGTTGATGATTTCTTCTCATATTTGTAATTATTTTTGTTTCTCTCTGTAGACAATATGTACAGTAAGGTTGTGCTTTTATAATTAAATAATTGTTGTTGTGTTACATGCTATCTGGTTTGGTCACCATCTTGAACGATTTGAAGTCTTTTACAACTTAACCCTTTGTGTTAAGTGCCCCAATGCACCCTACTTTATCATTTTACTTTGTCTAACACCCAACAATTTTACTTGTCAAGGAGAGTGTGCGCTGGTGCTCGATGGGTTAATTACAGTAGACTGAAATTACATAGATCTCAGCTTGTTTACATTTACAAGAATTTTAAGAAAATCTGTGACCAACACCAACCTTACTGTATCTCCCTTCTTTTATGTGTCAGCCTCTAGGCTTTGGTACTGTTAAGGTCGATTTCCACTACACAAATTTTGCCTAAAGCTGCATGTACATGCAACCTGCTTACAACTTGGGTGTGCTGTGTAAATCAAGCACACAACTCATGCACCTACTGTATGACAACATTGGCTAACTATCTTTAGTTATTTATTTCATCTGTTAGTGGTAGACAATGATTGGTCTAGGACATAAGGTACCTTTAGTGGCCAACATACATGTACAGTAGTTCACTGGGGGGGGGGG